GCTCCTTCCCTTCCCCCCTCACAGGTCTGGCGCAAGTGCAAGATGCGTATCTTCACGGTGGCTCAGATGGATGACAACAGCATCCAGATGAAGAAGGACCTGACGACATTCCTGTACCACCTGCGCATCACGGCGGAGGTGGAGGTGGTGGAAATGGTGAGCGCTGGGCTGGGGCTGTTCCCCGGAGTTCTGCATGCAGGGGATCCAGACGTGGAGGCACAGCACCGTGGGGATGTGCGGGGCCAGGATGGGGTGTCCTTCAGGCTGGGCCCCGCAGCTCATCCTGCTCCTCCATCCCGCAGCAAGAGAGCGACATCTCAGCCTACACCTACGAGAAGACGCTGGTGATGGAGCAGCGCTCCCAGATCCTCAAGCAAATGCACCTCACCAAGAACGAGCGGGAGCGGGAGGTGAGGAACAGCCCCACACCCAGCCTTGCTGTGTGCCCCCGTCCTGCCCCGCTGTGCACTGACCCCACACCCCACACAGATCCAGAGCATCACAGATGAGTCCCGCGGCTCCATCCGACGCAAGAACCCAGCCAACACGCGCCTGCGCCTGAATGTCCCCGAGGAGCAGGTGGGCGACGGCGAGGAGAAGCCCGAGGAAGAGGTGAGGCACCGTGTGTTGTGTCCTGCGGGGATGGGGTCACCGGCTGCTACCACCCCCTGCCCACCACGCCTCTGCTCTGCCACAGGTCCAGCTCATCCACGACAAAAACGCCACCACCTTCTCCAGCAGCTCCCAGTCCCCAGCTGAAGAGGCAGAGTCGGGCTCTGAGAAGGTGCATCTCACCTGGACCAAGGAGAAGTCCGTGGCCGAGAAGAACAAGAGCAAGAGCCCTGTCAGCCCCGAGGGCATCAAGGACTTCTTCAACATGAAGCCGTACGGCCCCACGTGCTGCTGCTGTGTCACCATGCCCCATGGCCCACGTGTCCCTCCTTGCTCTGAGCAGGGGCCTGCAGCCGGGTCCCTGCACACCCACCTGACAATGGGGAGGGTGGGAGGTGGGGGGGGGGATCCCTGTGCAGAGTGGGGTTTTGGTGCTGGGGAACACTGGGTGCATGCCCGGCACTCACCTCTTCTCTCTCTCTTTTTTCCCAACCCCGTTGTGATCCTGGCAGAGAGTGGGAGACCCTGTAAGTATGTTGCTTTGGGAGCCGGGGGGTGGGGGGTGGCACTCGTGGGCCCCATGTGCAAAGGCAGTTCCTTGTACTCATTGGTGGTTGCTTGTGGCATGATGCCAGTGAGGTTTGCTGTGCTGCAGCCCAGTTCCAGCCCTGCCCTGTGCTCCCTGGGGTCCCATGTGTATCCCTGTGCCCAGCCCCCACCCACGTGTGCTGTCTCCCCAGGAACCAGTCCAACGTGCGGAGGATGCACACGGCTGTGAAGCTCAACGAGGTGATTGTGAAGAAGTCCCAGAAGGCCAAGCTGGTCCTGCTCAACATGCCAGGGCCACCCCGCAACCGGAAAGGGGATGAAAACTGTATCCTTCCTACTGCTCTGGGGGCGGGCTGAGAGTCCCTCCTCAGGGGCTGTGGGGCCGGGGCTTCCTTGCAGGCATCGCAGGGCACTGCCCAGTGTTCAGCCTGGATACCCCCTGCAGCTCCTGCCCCGCAGTCTGCCTGGCTGAGACTGATGGGGTTGTGGTCCCTCCAGCCGTGGTGCGGGGCTGTGGGTTCTGCGGGTTCCCTGCTTTCACCCCTCGTTCCTCCTTGACGGCCGCACAGACATGGAGTTCCTGGAGGTGCTGACAGAGCGCCTGGACCGAGTGCTGCTGGTGCGTGGCGGGGGCCGGGAGGTCATCACCATCTACTCCTGAAACACGGCGCGAGAGAGGTTTGTCTGCACCCCGAGAGCCCCACCACCCCGCACCGTGCTCCTGGAGGGAGGAGAGAAGCCCGATGGCAGCCGGTGCACAGAACCTTCACCTGCCTTCAGCCGTGCCCCTGACCTCTCCATTCGAACTGCAGCACCAGATCTTCCGGGAGCATCCAGCACCTGAGCAGCTGTTCCTCATTGCAACGTCACAGCACTGCTGTCTTTGTTTATATATAAATATATACAGTGTTCTGCGGACTGAGCATCAGAGCCCAGCGCTGCCCCCGCAGCCCCCGGCCGGGCAGGAGCCCACTGCATCCCAATGGGCCCCATGCCCCACTGCCTCCCCACAGAGCTTGGCTGGGCGCCGCTGCCTGATGCTCACATCCCATAGAGGTGCTGGGAGAAGAGAGAGGCCACCAGCATGCTTTCCTCGCCAGATGCTCCTCTCCCCACCTCCGGCAGCACCCGACGACCCCGGAAAGAACCGTGCTGGGCCTGGACAGACCCAACCGCTCATCTGGAGGCCATGGGCCACGCTCACCGAGAGGCAGTTGTGATGGTTTGGAGGGGGTGAGGGTGGGGGGCAGCCGAGTGGGTCAGGATGCTGGAGAGCGGCGGTGCCACTGCAGCACGAGCCCCAGCTGGGTTGGGTGGAGCTGTGTGTCCCCTTCCCGCTGGCCCCAGCCCCCTCTGTCCAGGCATTGCTCTCTGCTCGTGCTGCAGGTTCTGCCCGGAGCTGTGGTGCCCGGAGCAGAGCAGAGGTCCCACCTGTGTGCAGTGTCAGCCTGGGCTGCCCCAGGGCTGTGGGACTGTGGATGCTGCTAACCCCAGGCACCGCCGGCTCTGGGCCTGGCACAGAAGCTCCATGGCCATGCTGGGGGCAGTGGAGGCTGTGTGGACCCCACTTCGGCCAACCGTCAGTCCTGGCAGCCCCATACCCCGCTGTGCACTGGGGCTTTATCCCTGGCCTCAGACAGAGGTGCTGCCACGGGGTCCGGAGCGCTCAGCTCTGCGGGTGGTTCTCAGCATATGCAATGTGTCCGACTGGCCCCGGCCCCACTGCAGCGCCTGTGCCAGGCCCTGTGGTGCGGGACGGCAGCGGGACCCCTCTGCCCTATTTCTGGGCAGCACCCGGCCCGTTCCGGTCCCCCCGTCCCACCGTGGCCCCAGTGCTGCCCCCCAAACAGCCCTGAGCCTGGCAGCAGTCGCAGGGCCGTCCCCCCCTCTTCCCCCCAGCAACTCTCATTCAGAGAAACTGAGGAGCTCTCAACAAATGTGAACGGTTCCAGGAATCGTGCAGGAAGCGGCGCCGAGGGCAGCCCGGCCCCGGCCCCATGTACATAGTGTACATAATACAGTACGTGTATTTTTAAAGTGATCATATTTATGTTAATAGAACCAGATGAAGTCTATATATAGAGATCTATATCTATACTGAGAGATGCAGGGCTCTGCTAGCACCGGGCTGTGGGGATGGAGGTGTGATGGCCGCCCCTGCACAGGGTCCAGGGAAGGGCCAGGTCAGGGGCTCGTGCTCTTCTCAATTCAGCTTCTTTAAAGTTTTCAGGGAAAAGAAATTACGGACTTTTCTGAACTCGTTTCACAGCAGATTTGAGCTTCCACTCCAAGTGCAGCCCGCTAAGAGTTGCCCTCTCCCGGCAGCGCTGTGGCTGCTCTGTGCCCCGTGCACAGTGCTGCTCCCCTGCCCTCGCACAGAGCAGCTCCTTCCCCTCTTCCTCTGCAGAGCTCCTCTACTCCTCCAGTTCCAGGCCAAAGCTACATGAGGCTGCTTAGATAGCAAAGAAGTGGTTTGTGGGCTTTTTTTGGCTTTTCTTGGCTTGCTTTCTTTTCGTTGTTGTTTTTTTTTTTTGGCTTTAAGACTCCTTGGACACACTCCCGGACCAAACCCAAGCCCCAGCTGCACCTCTGTGCCTGTCCGTACCCTGCTCCTACATCTGCACCACTCCCAAAGTGCCTCCATCTCTCCAGCAGCAGCCCCGGCCGCAGGCAGCACTCAGCCATGGCAGCTCAGCAATCTGCACAGGTGCATCGGGGCCGTCACAGACTGCTGCAATGAATGGATAGATGATAGATAGCAGATAGAGCCAGAAGAACAACCCCATGTGCCCAGCGTTAGGGGATGGGGAGACCGGGTTTAGCTTAGGGTTCAGCTCTGCCCCTACACCACCACACGCAGCTTCTGTGCTGTTTGCAGTCTCCCAGGATGATGTGAAGCACTTGGGCAAGGAGGAGGGTGTGCACACCCACCTGCCCACTCACTACACCATGCTTGCTTGGCCTGCAATGCTTCCAGCTGCTCCCTGCCTCTGCACAAGGTGCTTCGCTCCATGCAGTCTCCCTCTGCCCTCAGCCCAGCTTTGCCCTGCAGCCTCAGCCCGCTTCTACACGGAGCAGATAGCAGCGAGAGCCTGACCTCAGCAGCAGCACAGGCCATGCCAGATGCCTTCCTTGGGCAGCAGGGATGGAGTTCTCTGCTGCACAGGTGTGAAACCAGGCCAGGGCATGCTGCTCTGCGGGCAGGTCAGCTCCATCACTTCCCAGCAGCACCAACCATGCTGTGTTAACCTCCGCAGCCCCGGCTCCTCTAGGGAGCAGAAAGGCAAAAAGCACCCCCCCATCCTCACCCTCCAGCAGGAGCAGGGCACAGCTGCAGGCACAGCCACCTCCATACCCTTGCCAGGCAGCACCCGGCTGCAGCAGGACAGGCGCTGGCTTCCCCGGCGAGATCGCGCTCGCCTTCGGTCTGGAGAGGGCCAGTTGTAGCAGACAGCACTGCATGTTAGTTTACAAACCCAGCCCTGCACGTTTGGCCTCTGTGAGTGTTCAGTTTCCCCAAGGAGCATCCTTCCGCTGTTCGCTGTGGTGAAGGCAGTGTCCTCCTGCAGCAGGAACACGAGCTCCCAGCTGCCCCACGTGCAGCGGCTTCAGCTCTTGGGGTCCCGCATCCCCAAACTGCTGCCTGGGCTGGGGGCACGGCGAGGTGGGGAGGGGTCAGGCCCCTCCCAGGGCTGCAGGATGGGAAAGGCAGAAGGACCGGCAGGTCTGAAAGTTGCTGGTTACAACACTTTCCGTGCTACATGTGCAATATATTTGTTATGAATGTTATCAACGGGTCATTCATCCAATAATCTTTTAATCACTGTAGCTAGATGTTCTGCGTCCATTCAAGTGACTTTTATTCAAGTGCAATACTTCAATAGACACGTAGTGACCGAGTATGCTTTGTTTTAGAAATATCTGTGTGCAGAGCAATGCAATTCAGTTTAAAACCTTGTAAATAGGTTGCAAACAAACAAACAAAAAAAAAACAACAAAAAAAAAATCAAACAAAAAGAAAAAAAAAGAGTATTAGGTTTGCATTTAATTTCTGTGACCGTTTCAGTATTATTGTGCATTAGGCCGCCTCAGTACAGACCCTGTGTTCTCTGTGCAGATATTAATGGAGGAGTGGCTCCTCAGCTGTTGAATGCTCCCTGTTAATGCTTTACTGCTTTACCTGTATTCATTTTTCTAGACTCCTGTCTGCACAAAATGCAATAAATGATTTTATTACACCCTTCACTACTTGCATGGGAAGCTCTCATTAGCTCGCAGGGCGTTATTGTGCACCTGGGCTCCTGTTTCAGTAACACAGCTCTCACTGCTGTCTGCAGACCCAGCGCTGCCCCACGCGGGTGCAGCACAGCACAGCACAGCACAGCACAGCACAGCACACAGCTCCTGCTGCTCCCCCCACCTGGCTGGCGACTGCCCAGCACGTTCATTTGGCAGATCACGCTACAAGAACTCTCCACCCTTGAGGACCACAACAGCTCCTGTTCAGATTCAGCATCACTTTGTATGCACAGTGCTGGGGCCACTGCATCCACAAAGATGCTGAGGAGAGCTGGCCATAAAACAGAGCCCAGCGGTGCCCCAGCAGGGGCTGCCAGCCTGATGTGACCCTCTGAGCTCAATGTCAGCCGACTGCTCACCCTTCTTATGATGCCCTGCACACAACCAGACGAGTGCTTTCCGTCCAAAGCAGTATCAAAAGCTTTGCTAAAATATATCTATCACCTACATTGTGATTTTGTCCCACTGAAGCTCGTTGAAACTTGTGAGCTAGCAAACTATTCTAACTCCGAGTTCTGAGTCCACTGAATGACAGTAAGCACCTGAGAAGTATTTTAAAACCAAAGCATGATAAACTGAGACAGACCAAAATACTCTCACAGAAGGGCACAGTATGGTTTGCATCCAGCACTGGGCAATGTCTGAAGCACTTACCTGGGAGAGAGTAACAGCAAACGCAGCAGAACAAGCGAAGCAGTGGAATAACACATTCCAGCAGTACTCAAACTGTTAAGCATAAAAAATGCAACAAAATGTTTTTCCTGCCTTTTTATTAAAAAGTAACGTCCTTTCATTAACAGCACAGAGAGAAAAAAATGCTACAACACAAACCACCTTGGACAAGAAAATCCTCTGCTCCAAGAACATTGCTTTCTTAGCATCTTTTAGTTCTGCAGGAAAGCCCACAGACTCCAAGAAGGCTGTGCAAAGAAGGACCGCATGGTTAGAGAAGTTTTGTTTTCTGGTATCAAAGTATGTTACTGGTTAAAAACACGGTGAAGTATCACTGCCTGATCCACTCAACTGCCCACTGCAGCTATCAAAGTGTTGAAAGAACATATAAAATTATAGTATTGCATGTTGGCACTGCCTCCCCACCTGAGATGGACAAAACAGCAACCGAGATGAAGTTTCAGAGAGCAGACATTGACCACCTGGGAACTGGCTGCAGACAGGTCCAGCAGCACATCAGCGTGGCTGTGGCTGAGCTGCTGGGCAACGTAACCAACTGTCCCAAAGCAAGATTATAAGGAAAGGAAATTTATACATGAAATTTAATAGACCGATCTTAAAATTGACTACGTGGGTACAGGATTGATTCTGTTTTATCAATAGACCATTTAAAAATCTCTGCCTTGGCTGGAAGATCTCCCATTTCAGATCCTCCATTGCAGTCAGAACAAAACTGTCAGTTCCCATACGCCAGGCAAGGTGAGGTGCTTTTGCCAGCCTCGCTGTGCCAGGACAGGACAGCCCAGCTGCAGAACTACACAGCACTGTCCTGGCTTATAGAACAGCAGTCAGCCACATGCCATGTGAGCTCAGCTGCTAGTGCTATCTCTGCATTTCCCTCTGAAACTGGCTTACATGGCATTGAAAGAAAAAGAAATAACAGAAAAAAAGAAAAGAAAAGCAAACAAACAGTGTCCATTCCAAAAACCTGCAACCCCAAGAAGGCCCAATCAGGGTACTGCTCTTCTCAGTCTTACATCATATTCCCAAAAATGGGCCCAAATCCATACTAAGACCAGAATGCACCACAATGTGAAGGTGCACCCATTCACAGGAGTGAGGAAAATGTAGGACTGCCACTGCAGCAACTCCTGGGCTGGAACAGAACAAGTGAATACCCAAAGTGGCTCTCTGCATATCCTGCCACTGAGAAAACAGAAGAGACTTCTCCAAACACTGCTATCCAGACCAAGGTGAGGAAGGGCAGCACTAGTAACACTCAGCAGCAATGCCACTGGGAGTACACTCTCAACGAAGTGGAGAGGACATGCATATCCAGGGGCATTTGTCCCATGTCAAGGACAGGAGATTCTTTAAACAGCTAGAAATATGGAATGACAAAGGATAGGGAAAAGGGTTTGACAGCTCAGCTTTAATAGTGTCGCTGGTAGGAGCCCATAGGTTGCTGGGTAGATGACCCCGCTCGCCCCTGGGCCACTGTTTGACTCACTAGGTGGGAGAGTGCAGGACCACTCTGGATAAGGGTGTCCAAGGCTTTCTGTACACTAGGGTTGTCAAAGTTGATACCAGACGATACTGGCCTTTGGGCAGGTACAGTGCCAGGCGCAGGGAGACGATTCTGGTGCTGACCATAAAGTGACTGAGCTGGTGGAGGAGCTCCAGGTCTTGGACCTGCATTTCTTGAAGGGCCTTGGAGAGAAGGAAGCTGCGTGTTTGGAGTTTGCAATCTCTGCTGAGCCTGGTTTAAATTTCCAGCACTCATCTGTGCTGATCGGGCCTGATTGCTGGTCATGTTAGTGAAGTTCTGACTGGGAGTGCCACCCGACGTGCCCACAGCGGGTGCAGAACTGCTGTTTGCTACAGCTGCTGCTGCCGCCCCACTGTTGAAGAGACTGAGAATTTTTGCCTGCAGCTCCTGCTGAGGATTAGCAGAGGATGCTGGAACAGAGGGAGCAGAAACCAGAGGCTGTGAACCCTGATGAGTCTGCGAGCTTGGAAGGCTGGACTGACTGCCCAGAGATGGTGCTGAAGGTGCTCCCAGAGATGGTCTTGACATGGGTGCTGGGGAAGAAAAGAAAAGGAGTTAAAGCTCTGCAGATGTCCTTGAAGAGACACCTAAAGGAAACTAGCGAGATAGCTACTAAGGACACAAATCTCAGGAAATAGCCACCCTCTAATCAGAAATGCTGCACAGCTCTGGGGAACCCAAACCACTCGATAGCCCTTTGTGTAGCTGCCAAGCCAGTTAGGGAGCACTGTGGTTTCCCTGAGAGAATCCCATGTAAAACTTCTGTCACGTGAAAGATCAGAATAGACTCAGGACTCCTGGATCCACATCCATCTCCATAAAAAAAGGCACTCTGTAAGAATGTTACAACACTAGGACTCCTCTATAACCCCAGTATTGATCTTCTGTCCCACAAAACCGTATGACTACCAGTGTCATTCAGGGCTGAGATACTTACCCTGCAGAGAATCAGTGCTCCCCCTCAGTAACCTTTCCTTCCGGTCTCTCAAGTAATTAATTACTTTATCAGTCTCCTCAGCAGTTAGATAGCGATTGTCTGCCAGAAGGTTCAACAGAGTCTGAATGCCCGGAGGGTGGGGGTGGCCCCCTCTGGCCCCCTCCTCCATGGGGGGCGGGCGCTCTCTCTCCTGCAGAACAGCCTCATCTGCCATCTTGGCAGCCTGCCGGGCAATCTCCTCACGTTCCTTCTCCCGTGACTCTGTTTTGTAGCGCTCATAATTCCTGGCCACCAGCACCATGGCATCAGCCTGGGGCATGTTACGGTGTTCTGCACGAGGAAAAGAAACACTGTAAGCAAACCAAAGCGGCGTTAGCTGGAGGTGCCTTCCCTCACTCACACCAGCATATCTCATTCAGCAGGCAGGCACCTCCCAGGGATTGTAAGCATAGATGTGGGAAGCTCCCTTGGCATACGGCAAGAGTTCCATTTCTTAAGCCAACAGAAGTCTCACAGCTATCACCCAGCAAGGCCAACCCTTCCTTCTTCAGCTGAGAGCTTTGAGGTTTCATACCAGCCTAGAAAGGCCATTCATGCCTCTCATCCAAATAAAAAGAGAAACAGCTCCCTCTACCTTTCACCCAAATTCTCTGTGCTCTGAGAAGAGAGAGTTCCAGCTGTTCAATTGGACGAGCCCTCGGACAGGCTCCAGAATTGCACTCTCAAGGCACATCTCATCTCTGGTTCCCAGAGCAGCACAGTCATGGGGATATGCTGAAGTTTAGGTGAAGAATATTTAATCCCTAGAAAAGATCTGTGCACAAATCAGTTGCCAGAGTTCTTACCAGACCTGACACGCCGCTTGCTCCAGTGAAGGAGAAACCTTGGCAGGGAAACTAAAGCAGTTAAGAACTAAACCAAAAGGCAGTAGAAAGCCCACTGAAAGTGTGCTTGAGCTGTATGTCTACTGGAATTGAGAGAAACACCCCACCACAGCTGCATCAGGTGTTAAAAGAAACCAGGCTTCTTCAGTCAGTAAGCAAACAAAAAGCAATGAGTGTGCATTCAGGTGTTCTCTACCACAGATGAACCTGACAAAGCATTACTTGAGAACACAATAAGGGAGAAGTAACTTTTGAAAGCTTAGCTGCAGCCAGAAGTCTACCTCAGCGAACAGTGCGTAAACAGGCTTATGATCACAGCATAAGACTGGCTTGCCTGCTCAACCCTCTGCACAAAATTCTCTCCTGATAGAAATTAAACAGTCATTTTGCCAAGGGACAAATAAGGTATTATAGAATTTTGCAAATAATGATATTCACATTTATGACATGCCATTAAGTCATACACTAGATCTGTAAGTCACAGCACAGAAGGAGAACTACTGGAGAAAAACTATTCTAGAGCAGTACTTCGTGCTGTTTGGTGCGAACCTATATGATCTACTAAGACCTCAGTACCTTGTGGGGTGCCAAACATGATGTTAACAGTGCAGGAACGATGAACTTGATGCTGCTGAGTGATGACAATAGCAAAAGGAGATCCTCCTCTGCTCACATCATCCAGGGCTTGTGTCAGTGACATCTCTGTGTTGAGGAAGATCAGGTCCACCACCATGCCCAGATCCCGCACCTTCCGCCCCACTGACTCCGCGTACTCCCTACCACAAGGCAAAGCCAGCAGAGTTTAACAAGTCAGAAATATACAAAAACAAACCCTTCACATTCGTGTGCTGCATCTCAGATTTGTTTTTCCCTACTTCACTAATCTTCGCTACTTTTCAATACATCTGTTTGTGGATGAACAGATCAGTGCCATCACTACAGCACTCCCTGCATTGTACCAGGTGCAGGACTAACTCCTTGCTCCCAGCATTGCTTGCTCTCCAAACCACAGAACATTCCAGCATTTTTGACACAAGTCTGTTTGACTCCTAAATTTGCTTTCAGCCCCTTTGCTTTTAGCAAAAGCATATATTTCTATTGGCACGGTCTGCATTTTTATTTCTACGTTAACAATTTCACATTTAATGCAATAAAAGGGTTTGAGTGTTCAGACTGCTGCATGAGATTGTCCTTGTTAATTACATACATGCTTTTGATATCGTGACTACTGTCAGCAATGATTTTATGTCTTGCACATTTTATTAACAATACTGAGCTGTATCTGACTAGTAATCTAGATCAGATAACCACTGGCTGAATGGAGCTGAAACAGTCAAATTTCAGCTCCTTTCAAACTGACAGGAGCTCTGAAATGGACAACCCTGTGACTCCACATCGACAACATCTCTGTGCCATCTGCTGATTGGCACACGTTAACAAACTCTGTTATTCATGGGTTGAATGATACAAGTACAAGCTGCTACAGCTTGTCATGACAGTAGGGTTATATAAAGAGCACGTAAAGTTTTGGGAGAAGACGTGCTGTAAGCTGACAAGAAGGGAATGTAAGTAAAGTGCAAGATATAACAATATTTCTCCTCCTCTTCAACCACTCAGCAGTCCTAGAACAGCAATAGAGGCTGTGGTTTTCTGAAGGCTCTAAAGCCAGTCTTCTCAAGGGAATCTGTAAGAGAAATAGCTCCAAGGCATGATTAAGCTTAATTCCATCATCTACCACCACTCAACAACAAATATGCAGTCATAACTACTTTCTTACTTTGTCTGCTTATTCACCACTATCACAGAACAATCAACAGGTCTCTCAGCATCAAAACGTCTCTTGATTTCCTCATAGTACTGACGGTACAGCTCCTCTCGGCGGCGCTCCTCGCGCTTCAGACGGTCTGAAACCAAGCCACAGAAAGAACAAACAATGCTCTTTGCATCTGCTTGGAGCAGTGAGGTGCACATAGCTGTGCTCAGTCTCTAAGCCACCTAGTGGCACAGAAGGCAAAGCGCTGTGGCTACGTCCATCCTCAGCGCTGCAGGTATCTACATCCTCGCAGAGGAGAATGCGGTTCTGCCTATTAAAACATCAGTCTCCAAGGTACTAACCTTCTGAATTCACTGGTGCTCTGTCAAAATGCTCTTTGTAACGGTCATAGTAAGAGTCGTCCTTCCGCCGATAGTAGTCATCCACGCGCAGGTAACGGTCATAAGGCTCGTCTCGTCTGCAGCATTGACAGAAGCAGCAATGGTTCCCATGTTCCAATGTATCACATGCAAACCTTCCTCAAATTTCATTACTGAGACACCCAGCTGTTCCCCTCAAGACACAAACCACCCTCAACTAGAGCAATTTTCTTATGTTAAAGGACTAGCACCACACAAACTGATATAACCACAAGGCAAGAATGCTATAAGAACATGTGGGCATTACCTGTACAAGGGGTCCCGAGGGTCTCTCATATCCCGTGGATCCCTCATGTCCCGTGGATCCCTTATGTCTCTTGGATTCCTCATGTCTCTTGGATCCCTGTATCGATCGTACAGCGGCTCCCGTGGGTCACGAAAATCTCTAACATCACGAGGGTCCCGCAAGTCCCTTGGATCTCTGATATCCCGGGGGTCTCGAAGGTCTCGCAGGTCCCGGGGGTCTCTGTGGTCTCTGGCATCACGAATGTCTCTGGCTCGAATATCTCGAGTGTCTCTGGAATCTCGCCCGTTTCTACCATCCCTGCCATCTCTGGGGTCTCTCCGTGGGCTCCCCCGAAGAGGGGAGCGATCGCGTCTGTTATCGCGGCCATCCCCATAGGCATAGGGCTCTCTGAGGAAAACACCAGGGAAATTCTGTTAGACTGCTAATGACACAGCTTACCCCGCATCTCTTACCTGACAGACCAAAGTGAACCTTCTCTCAGCAACCGAATCCTCCCTCTGATCCCATAACAAGAATTGCCCCAAAACATATTTCTCAAAGCAAACACATTTGGAGATCTTAATTACAACATTTATCTCAGTTAAACGACTCCAAGAAAGCTCCCTACTGGAGCATCACTAAAACTGCAGAACACCTGTGGAAAGAGTGAACAGGCACTTCAGAAACCACCATTTCAAGGCTTCCAACATCAGCTATGGATCCTCTATCAAACGTGTACTTGCAAATTCCTTGAGAAAATGTAAGGTGCTGCATCCTACTACCCAGAAATATGGAATAGCTAGGAGCATTCAAGGGATCCATTAAATTCACAAGTCATTGACAGCAGAACACCTGAAATAATTTGTTACTGGCACGTGATTCAAAAAGAGCTGGCTGGGAGCAATAGGCTCTGTGCTGTGGTTGGCTCTGTGCTGTTAGCAAAAACAGTGAGCTAACAATGTGTCCTGACAAGGAATGGGTAAATCCTGCAGAAAGTCAGTCTTATGATGCCCCATGTTAAAAGGGTACCAAACCCAACCAACACCACATCATCAGAGAGCAGGATTCTCTGTCACATCTGAATGATCCATCTCATTCAGACTTTGTACCACGCTGTCTTCAGAGGAGAGAACGATGTTCCAGGCTTCATCTTTTCCACAGCAGTAGGTTTTCCTCCAGGCCATAATTTGTTTTCCAAAGAAAACACAACTTTTAGTCTAAACCAAACCTAATAAAATCTTGCAAAGAAACTACTGAGCTTCACACGCTTGGAATGGTCTTTCCACATGATACTGGCAACCATAGAGAAAGAAAAAAAAGTCTGTTTTGGAAATAGAAAAGTCTTCTATCAGACTCATCTACTTTATGAAAGATGAGCAGAATATAAATCCATTTCCACTACACTGTATTGACTTTGTAGGCAGTTGGAGAAGACAGCAGGAGCAACAAGTCAGATGCACTCACATTTCAGTATGAGGCAGAGCAGACAGTAGTGAGAAGGATGTGCAGAGCCAAGTGCAGACTTTGGTAGCTTATACACCCAGCTGTTTGGAGGGATACACAGGATTGCTGACATTTGGTATTTCATATACAAAACAAATACTGGGACATACCACTGTGATGCCGCCGAAAGCATATATAGCCTCTTCCCCTTATAGAAACATCTTGCTCATAAAAAGGCAAGTGCATTCTCCTTCACTCTCCTGGGCACACAAATCCACTTTTTGTTTGAGATCTGTACAAAACCACAGCCCAGAGGAGATGTATGTTGTCTTCCCCTACCCCCTCCTCCCCCATCCTGCAATGAGTGACAGCAGAAGCTCAGGGAAAACTTGGGATTTGCTCTGATGGACACTGAGTACCTGACCTTTCTGTAGTTGTAGGACTATGTAGCAAAACAGCCAGATGCAGTATAATTGTTTTGCAATATGACATTTATTCCATCTGGGGTGGGGGTGACCAGAAGAGGCCACATTATCTGCAGAGACAAAGATCCAGAACAAACAGTGCATAACTGCAGCTTAACTACAGACGTGGCAGTGGGCTGGGTCCCTCTGCTTTCTGACCTGCTGCCAGCAGAGGCATGAAGGCACAGCAGTCTCCTGCCTCCACCACCGCAGCCCAACTCCTGCAGTGCCCACACCACTGCCTAGGCCTGTGGCAGGGCTGAGAAATCCCACGTCCCAGCAGCTGCTGCTCACGCACCTGCAGTGTGATCCAGAGTCCAGTCTCTGCTCGTGACTCAGTGCCTGCATCCTTATTGTCTGTGCCTCCGCTGCTGCTGCTTGGAACCAAGCATCAGCAATATGAGAGGGCCAGGGCATCCACAGCACCAGCTGAGTCCTGTGCCTGTGGCAGTGCACCTATGTCTCTGGCAGCCATGGTGGTGCTCCAGTCCCAGTGCTCACGTGCCTTCAGTGCTCCTTAGGGGCACAGACTTGTGGGCATGCGGGATCAAACAGATCCCAATGCCCACAGCACTGGTAACTGTCATGTGTCCTCTGCAATATAGCCTGAGCTTCATCATCTGTGGCATTGGCACCTACTTCTCACACTTGCAGCACTACCTGGGTACCTTTGTCAAACACTTGCAGCATCACCAAGGCCAAAGGTCTGTTACCAGCACCTGTGGCATTCTTGGGGTTTTCATGCTACTGCCAAGCACATCTGACAGTACCCAGGCCCATGGCTTGCTCATCCATAACTTGCATGAAGCATTTCCTGGGCCTGCTGCCCATGCACTTGGCCCTCTCCAGGAGAAATGCAGCACATAAAAAACGTCAAGGATTGCAGATGCTCCTTCTCCAAGTTTTGGTGGTAGATGTCACAAGTCACACTTTCTTCCCCATTTGTTGTTACTTTTTTTTTTTTTAAATCAGATCAAGTTAGTAGAACACACTGGGCATGTGAGAGCTTGATTTTCAAATCCAGATGCAACACTCCTTTGGGTGCAAAGCTTTACACTATAACTGGAGGAAATGCACACCTTATACCAAATAGTGGCCACAGCATGTCTTCAAGCACTCCCTAGCAGTGCTACCAAAAGAAAAAGGAGGTCTTCATCCACATGCCTGTGACTTCATATGCAGAGGGGTGTGTGGGAGCTGTATTCCCATCCAGGGCTGGGAAGCCAGAAGAAGCAGGCAGAAGCACCCCTCTGGGTGTAACTGCAGAGACGAGGGCTGGTTCCACATACTGACAGTGAAATATACACACAGATGGGACAGTGCAATATAGAGACACGTACACTGCCTTGCACTTTACTTGCATGCACTTCTCCAGTCTCATTTCAGTACTGGAAGCTTTTGGTATCAGAAGAGGCAAGATCCTGAAGCTCTCTTCACTGAGAAGACCACAGCCCCTCAGTTGTGGCTCATATACATGTGCCTCACATTCTGATGCTTGAGACAGGAGCAAACACCAAGTTAATTCTTCCTCACAAGTCTCTTACAACCTGTGCTGCAAAACGCAACACTTAGTTGTAGTGACAGCAGCAAACACGAGGTTTCCCTCGTGCCTCCTGAGGTGCCAGCGCCAGAAGGGCTCTTAGAAGGTAGAGCAGCCACATCCCAATTGTCTCACTTGAGTGCTTCCATTTGAGTGGGGAGGTGGCAGTAGGGAAGAGAGACAGACATTTAGCACAGGCAGCCGGGCTCGTGCCCCAGAAGCCTGACCTTCCTAGCATAACTCACTGCTTCCAGGTACTTTACCTTCGTGCCGGACTGGACCTTGATGAAGCCTTATTCATATTTCTTCTTTCCGCTGCTTTATTAATATCTGTAAAGAATAATCAACCCATCTGTTCAATGCTATGGAACAAAAAAAAGATCATCAGCACAATTCAAATGAAAGCAACTTAAGCTTAACAACATCCAGATGGTGCAAGAAAATTCATTCAGCAGAGAGACATTGTCACTTTGACAGTTTTTTTTTTATTAAGTTTAGATAGTACAATGCAATGAAATTGTCATGAATTTTTCTGATTTCAAAATAGGGTGGATAGCTCAGGTGAAGTTCTACTGCTTTAAGTTCAGGTCTACATCCAGACTCTTCATTCCATAAGAGGACCTCTTTCTTCTGCAGTCTATGAGCAAACAGATTACAACTCATGGACTCTAGGAGAAAAAGCAGAGTCTGAAGACCTCTGAGAAGGGAAGCTGGTGCCCAACAGTCTAAAATTCACAGCCAGACCTGTTCAGCAGAGCGTGCTGCTACCCTTGTAGCTAGTAAATGCAAGGGCTCTCAAATGGCACATGCAACTGCCTTCTGAGGGACTGCTGCAGCATTACATCGTGCAGCTTCCTGCAGGAGGAAGCAGGATGCAAGGAGCCTGAAGCATGAGCTCCTCATGAAGTCAACAGGGTGCACCCAGAGCACCACTGTTACTGAGGTGCAGAGAGAAGCAACAGATCAGAAATTTGAAAGCTGGTTGGCTTCTGAGTATCTCCAAAAAAACACCACAAAGTGAAATACAGAAGTAAGAGAGCTGAAGAAACAGTGTTCTGTCCTTAAACCAAAGTGAAGCTGCCCCAAACCAGTGGGAGCCAATATCACCACACTGATGAAACAGCCCTCTGTAACAGCTGAGTGAAGATGGAATAATGTACTAGAGGGGTCAAGGACAAACAAATGATTTCAAGTGCTTATTCTGAGACCTTCTGAAAGAAGAAAGCAAACCTAACAAATACAACTTTAAATTAGGTTTGTTTTTTAAACTTCGCTGACTTGCGAGAACCTTCAAAGTAGCTACACACACCATGCCGTGCCTCATAGGCAGACTGAGTTTTAATGCTGGCTGCAGCTTCCCAAACTATCCTTCAATACTTCCAAGAGGGATCACTTCATTTTTTGCTCTGGTTGCTCTCATCAGAAAGGCAGAGGTACAAATGCCATTGGAACGCTGGGCACACACAGCAGGACAGACTCACAGGGCTGGAAGCACAACAAACTGCTGCCACCACAAACTGAACAGTCACATATCCCCCACACAGTGCTATTCACTGCAGATATGAAAACACTTTCAAGCACCAACAGATCTTTCAGCATAATCCAAGAAGAGAAGTTCTCTCCAAGCCTTTCACCTCGTGCTATTAGCCACTATATCTAACAGTTACACTGCATACATGAAGTCACTATCTTCCTTGCATTTGTTTTTAACTTAACATTTGACTTTAGGGAAAAGTATTCTTACATTTAAGCAAGACACTATCTGCATTTTCAGTTTAAGATTTTTATTATTCTGTTCAAAATGCCATCATAGAAACCTGTGATTTTTTTGCACCCAATACCATAATTTTCTTTCGAATTAAAAAAGAATGATTTAGATCTGGACAAAATATTTTCACAGGAGACAAAGACACCTCTGACAGGGATCCTTCTCTTACACAAAGCGATTTCATAATATTTTATTTCATGCCAACAGTCTTTACAGATGAAGAACTTGAACTCTGACAAAACTTCTGAGGGGAAAAAAGGGAAAGTCTTCCATCTTGCAGGAGCTGGAGGTGACAGAGCTGCTGCAATCCTACAGCACAGCCCTCTGAAAAAGCACAGGTGCCAAGGTTCTTCAGCTGCACTCCTACCTCAAGTCAAGCAGTGCACTGACTGAGAGTTCATCTTTTGGCAAAGCATCAAATTCTGATCAAACAATCTCCATAGCATAGAAACCACCAAAGATCCAATAAATTATTCCAATTATCATTTATTTTGCAGTTAAAAGAACTATTTGTTTCCATTTATGGACTCATCATATCTACATCTACCAGACCACAACTCACTTATCTCCAGGTCTGCCTGGAACACAGATCACACCACCCTGAGCCTCTCTCTAGGGCACGTTCTTCACACTCCTTAACCTTCAGATTCTTCTGAGGCTTCTCCAGTCTAGCATTTTCCCTTTGAACGAGGCAGCCCAGAACACAGCCTTCCACCAGCAAAATCCCACACGTACCAACCCCCCCCAACTCCCAGACAACTGTGGTACGGGGCAGGATGACAAAGGCACTCTTGCTGGGTGCACATCTTCACATTTGCCTTTATTAAAAGCTCAGTTCTGCCTGCATTCGGCTTAGGAAGAAGTCCACATCATTTCACCATCAGTGACTCAATCTTCATTATTTGATTCCCTCTTTTAAACCATAAAAATGTGTTTTCTTTCCAAATCACTTACAAAAATACAGCATGGCCAGGAACCAACTCTTCCAGAACACTACTCAAAACACTGAGCAATTTCATCCGTGCTGCACCGAAATTCATTTCAACTCCATTTAATGCTACGTTGCTTTTAATTGCACTAGCTTCTTAATCAAACCAAACATCTTACAAAAGTACTTTACATCAACACTGCCACTTTTATCCAGCAAACTCACAGCACAAGAATACGAGGTTGACAGGACTAACTTGGACTGGGGCTATTCTCCCACCTGGCACTCAGTAAGAAGGGATCACAGCTCACTGCTGGGGCTGCTGCCAGGCTGGGTGCTCCCAGCACTCCCCCAGGACCTCCCCAAATATCCAAGGCTTGGAGGAAAACATTCAGAGCTTCAGAAGATCTTTGTTTCACTGAGTCTCAGATTTAATCTTTTTGGAGGACCAGTTTTGGTAGCTGCCATTTTTAATTATTATTATTATTATTTTTAAAGCTTGCTGCTGAAGTGGAAACTGTATGAAAGACACCTGACTCTTCAAAAAGAAGTGTGAAGAAACATAACTGCAGACTGGGTGGTCTTTCCTAATTAGAAATACGATTTCCAAATAATTACATATTAGCATTTGAGACATCTGCAGCTGTTCCTGTAACAACTTTTGGACTGGACAGCACCAGCCCTGGTGCCTCCTTGCAGCCTTCTCCCCTCCCTGTCCATTTGCCACCATCTCCACCTTCAGGCCTGCCTGGTTACTTTCCCATCTTACTATTTACTGCTCCTTTCGTTCCTCCCTACATCAAACACTTCTTCTGTAAGTTATCATGGAAATAACATTTCTCTTACATTTAACAGATCGGGCTCAGACTTCCAACCATTCATTTCTGTTTCAGTTTGCTGCCAGCAGATTCAGAAGGACTATTTTCATCTTTCTGAAAAGGCCTTTTTAAAGCACTTTGTATTTATAGGGCTACTCAGATTATGTCCCATGTGCAAGAAAATCCAAGTTAGTGTACTTAACTAACAGGCCACTGATTTCTGTGACAGTTTCTCCAGATCCATCAAGATGCAGCCCAGTAATGGCTTACAAACCAATTTTAGCACTAAGCAGGTGAAGTCTCACCCAATACTTTCCAGGGCTTACATGTTGATCAGCTATGGGTCCATTCAAACACTAACATAGAAAGAAATTCAGAGTGACCTGGGTAGCAAGAGAAAATGCTACAGACAAATCACACAGCACTTAACAGCAAATAACTCAGAAAGAAAATACATACCTGGTAAAAGTGACTTTAGACTAATGCCAGGCAAGTTTCACATAATGATCTTTCCAGAGAGCTTTTGAAGAAAAGCACTCTCTCTACCAGAATGCATGCTAAGGTAGGAGAGCAGGGATCAGTTTTCCTTACCTAATCTATACCCTTTATAAAGGCGGCCCTTCTCACCGTCCAGAGCGGCCTGGACATCTTCTAGACGGTCATACTGCACGAACCCATAGCCATGGTACATGCTGAGGGCTGCAAAAGTTAACAGCAGGGCAAGACCAGTTACAAGAACAGGACAGCAAGGATCCCACACCCAGGCCTCACATCACCCCAGCAGTTGGAACAAGCAAAGGGGCTTTGCCCAGAAACGTCTAGGCAGGTTTTATGGGAGATCCAGATCTACCAGGATCAAAACGCAGAGCTTAAGAACTCTGAAATTTATTTCTCAGACAGTTCCACAAAGATAGATCAACTTCCTTCTGACAAGGCAGTGACCAAAAATATCAGCCCACAAAGTGACCGAGGCTTGATTAAGAGATTACGCAGTCACTTGGAAAGAGCAGATTTGCTTGATATAACATCACACCACAGCCCCAAAGATAAAGCATGCTTGTATATACGCACTAGGTTTCAGCTGTACTCAAAGAATTACTTTTTCAGAAAGTGCAGGCAGATAAAGTTATCATTAAAAGGTCACTTTTGAGGGAAAGCATTAGTCACTCCTCTCATCAGCAGCAAGCAGCATTTGACAAGCATGACAGTTATATTTCTGACTGAATTCCCAGCCACAGAGAGGCATAAGATAAAATACTAACCCCTGATTTTGCCATATTTTGAAAATATCTCTTCCATTTCTTCACGAGTCATGTGGTCTGTGGGCAAATTGCCGACAAAAAGTCTTCTCTCTAAATCCTGAGGGTTGGTGCTGTTAGTGAAGTCGCTCTGTTTGATGCTATTGCTCTTGCGTCCTCGGGCCATTTTGCTTTCGTTCCAAATCCAACTCTTCGCAAAAAAGAGAAATGGCCACGCATATAATTTCAATCCATGACATTAAAATTAAACTGGAACAAGATTAAACTTAACAGCTTTGCAGACTAGAAGCCAACCGGGTCTGTTTGACGCAAGCTTCGCTCCAGAGAAATCTTAACACAACTGACACAGAAGGCGGGCAAAAAAACGTGCATTGCAGCATCTGGGGTGAGCTTTCTGTAATACCGAGAGGTAGGAAGCCTGATCTATTTCATGGATGCGTTTTAGTGATTTATCTCCAAGCTAAAATAGAATTTAAACTCATTTCTTACTGAAGAAAATGCAGCTTTCCGATACACCCATTGTTTTATCTGTTTCTTCTGTTCACTGGTAAGAAGTGCTGAGGTTTAAGCGGTATTTTAACAAGCAGAAAGGAAACACTCATCTCAACATCGCACAACAGGATCCAATTATTTCTCAATGGGCTTTAAATGAGATGTCAGAGTACTTTTAAATGCGCTTAAGTGACCACACTTGGATCCCTTTCCCAAAGGGGAAAGCAGTTTCTCATTCATACCACCACTGAGCAGCCCCACCACCACCACCTCCCACTGAAGGCGGGTCCACAGCAGGGAGCATCACCACCCCCACACCCAGCTGGAGCACTCAGCGACATCCATTGCACCAACAGCTCCAGCACACTGCTGGGAAGGAAACAAATCCACCCACAACATCCAGACCAAACCCATTAGGCCAAACAAAAGAAAAAGCCCACCCAGGATTCACCATTACAAGATGAACCTACAAGGTTGAAAACTATTTGAAGAGTGAAGTGTAATCCCTTCCTGAATGTTCATTGCAGAAATACAGGATAACAGGACAGGAAGGAACTCAGGGAGAAAAATATACTGTGAAGCTGAGTAAATCAACAGAAACTTCTGGTATCTGCCATGAGATGCCTCCAACCAACACAGCCCCTAATCTGCATTCACTGCAACCTGAAAGCATTATCTCAATAAACGCCAAACATCCAAAAGCATAAAATAGTGTCACAAGAGTACTTCTACCACACTTGGCATGAGAAATGAGCATGTTCAGGATTTGAGGCATACCGTTTGGATTATGATTTTTTATTTTAAGAGACAATTAAATTTACATTTGTATCATTTGTCCTCCTCTCCACAACTCTGCAGAACAGGAAGGCAGAGAACATCTCCCACTGCAATGCTTTGTTTCAATATGAACTGAACTTCTAGAACAGGAAGGGGGCAGAAACACCCCAAAACCAGCAGGAAATGTCAGTGCTTACACCTTATTCGCTTCAGTCCTCCTGTGAGTCTGCTCCCCTGCTACACACACAGCTTTACCCACCCCATCAGGAGCAGCAGCTCTCACCCCGTTTCTCCTCATGCAGGCATTACGTTTGGGTCCTACAGCTGAAGCTGAGGGGAAAGAAACCCAACGCTCTGCCAAGGTTAGTGGGGCAGGGAGCAGGCCTGCAGTCAGCACCGCAGGACGGGATGGGGACACGGCAGCCAGGTGGGCACCGCGCAGTTTGGGCTCTGACAGCTCAGCTCGGGCCGTTCGCAGACACCCACGGTGTGACGGGCACGTTCTCCTTTCCGCGCGGAAATTCTTAAGGAACGTTCCCTTCTGTTTCCCCGAGGGGTGGCAGCAGGAAGGAAGGCCCGCTGTTCTGCCTGGCTGCTCCAAGCACGGCGCCGAGGCGTCGCACAGCGCTCAGGGCCTGCAGCCGCCGCTCGGCGACCGCGGGGCTGGAGCGGGCCCCGCAGCTCAGTCTTACATAGAGGAGAACCGCGGCTCCGGCACCCAGCGCCGCGATCCCGGCCACCGCACAACGAAACGAATAAAACCCCACCGGGCGGCGCCCGGAACCCGCAGCGCACCGCGAGGCTCCGAGCCGCCCGGCCCGGCCCTTCCCAGGCGGCCGCAGGGTCCCTCCGGCGCCGCCCGCCGCCTTCCCGCGGCCCCGAGACGGACGGAGCTCCGCGCTGCGCTACGCCTTCCTTGCGGCCCGCCGCTCACTTACCGCCTCGCCGGGCCCGCTCCGCCTCAGGCCGCCGCCCGCCAGGACAAAGGCGCCAACCGCCGCTGCCGCACGGCGCCGCCGCAAAGCGCGGAGGTGAGAGCCGCCGGAAGGGCGCTGACTCGCGCTTTACGGCGCGGCGCGACGCGCTGACGTACGGCGCGCCGCCATGGCTGCCGGGGGAAGGGGGGGAGGCCTCGCGCCAAGCATCCGGCATGCCCCGCGGCCGCGCGCCGCCGCAAAGCGCCATGGGATTTGTAGTCCGGCGGGCCGCGGCCGCGGGGCGGCGCTCTCGAAGCCCACCGCCTTCAGGCCGCCGTGGGGCGGATGGGCGCTGCGTGCGGCGCCGGGTGCGGGGCTGGGAGTGCCGGTGCGCGGTGAGCGCGGTGCCACAGGGGCGGTGGGGCGCGGACACCCGTCCCGGTGTCATCGTCGGGACTTCCCAGGCTGAGCCTGCGAGTGACGGGCCCAGAAATCCCCATCTGCGCCTTTGGCTTCGGCTCTGCCCTCACCGCTCCCTGGGGCTTTGGGCGCACCTGAGTGCTTCGGTTCTGGGAAATGACATCGCGGTGCGGAATGCGGAGCACGTGGCCTGCGGCCGGGGCACGGCGTGGAGCAGCAGCGGAGGCAGGGCTGCGGGCTGCAGCCGGGCCTGGGGGCAGAGCGAGGCTGTGGGACGCAGCCGGACGCCTGCAGCGCTGCAAGCAGCGCCGTGCCCGTGGCGGTGCCCGCAGGGAGGATGGCAGCACCGCGCGCGGTGTCCTCGAGGCTGTGACAGCAGCGCCGGGATGGCGCAGGCTCTGAAAATCCCCCCGCAGCACGCGCTGCACGCTGCAAACCTGCGTATGGGGAAGCGTCCGCAGAGCAGAGGGGATGGGAACTTCCTCGGGGATTGCTTTGGGACGGAGGGAAGGGAGCCGGGGCGATGGGAAGGCTCAGAGCCCTGCTGCTCTTTTGCCTCTTCCCGTATCGGGTTGATGTGTTTCTGGGAACTCTACGCAGATGCCAAAGCCTGTGGGGAACGCTGAGGGGCTCTCTGGACTTTTTAAAAGTGAAGTGAAACCTCACGCTTCTGCCTGAGGAAGGAGCTGTTGGGGCCAGAACAAAGGTCTCCTCTGCTTCCCATGGCAGATTCCCGTCTGTGGCCGCACCTCTTTCACCCAGGAAGAAGCAGGAGGCGGCTGCACGCTGACATCCACCCGTAGCTCGGCCGCGCCGGGCCGGTCGCACCGTGCGGGGGGACTGCGGGAAGCGCCCCGGCCCCGCACAGCTCTCGGCTACGCTCTGCGGCCCGGGAAAGTCCCGGGGCGGCGGGGGCTGCCGGTGGGGACTTCGTCGCGGGAGTGCAAGCCCGGTGACTGCAGGATGGGCGGCCCCTGCGGCCCCTTCCTGGGCGGAAACGGGTCGAGCCGTTAATATCGGCTGCCCGGCCCCGCACGGCTCGGTTCGACTCGGGACGGGACGGGACGGGCGGCGCGGCTCGGCTCGGATCGGATCGGATGGGCGCGGCTCGGGCCATGGGGCGGCTCGGGCTGCTGGGGCTCCTCTGCGCGCTGCTCCTGGGCGTAAGTGCGGCGTCCCGCGGGGCCGGGGAGCGGGGCCGGGCCGGAGCTGCGCCGCTGCGCGCCGTGCCGCGGGGCCCGCAGGGGGGGGCCGGGCTGCGGCCACGCTTTCCGGGTGGGAGCGCCCGGCGCCGTCGGGCCGCTGAGCTCCGGTCCCGGCGGGAGCGGCCCGGGGCCGTCATCCAGCGCTGTGCCGGGAAGGACGCGGGGAGCCCCTGGCTGAGTGCCCCGAGCGGAGCAGAGCTTCGTCGTTCCTCGTTCTCGTGGCTGAGATTCCCCCAGCGGGGGCTCGGCGTTCCTTATCCTTCCCACTCCATTGTGCCTCCCCTTGCCCCGGAATCCCCATCGCCGGTGTTTGGGGCGCAGCCGTGAATTTGAGGAGCGGAGAGGGCAGTGTGGGCAGGTCCCTGTCAGCAGGAGTCCCGGCCCGTGTCGAGGCAAGGCATGGGACGGGCATGGGGCGTGTTGTCCTTGCTGGAGGGGCTGTGGCAGCCTATGGCTGAGCCCTGTTGTGGGGTCTTGTGGGTTCGACGCAAGGCCGGGCCCTGGGGAGGGTGGCAGAGGCAGGGTGGGGTATCTGAGCACCCTTTCGGTTCCCCTTCCTGCCTGAAGTCACAGACGCATGGTGGGGGGGGGTCAGTTCCCCTCTACAGGGTCAGGCATCACAAGCCAGGCCTTGCAGTGCCCCTTCACACTGGGACAGCCCACTGGGCCATGTTGTGTGTGACTGAGAGAGGACACAGCAGCCTGTGTGGGTTTGATGTTCCTGCCCAGGGAAGGGGCTGGTGGCACAGTTGGCACTGCAGCGCTGGTGGCACTGGCAGAGGCCCAAGGTGAAGAGCAATCACCACCCATAGGAAACCTGGGAAAGCACGGGGCCGCCCTACAGGAGCCACTGCCATCCCACTTCAAAGAGAGCGTTGGCAGTGCCAGGCAGTGCAGGCAGATCTGCTGCGGTCTGTGGTTAGCCCAGGCATGGGAAGTGTGGTGCAAGGAAAACCTCACCTTGGGGCATGGCTCGGAGGATGTGCAGCTGTGCAGGAGCGTGGCAGAGCAGCATCTCTCCATGGGTCTCATCTCTTCCAGTGCGGGCAGCCTGGTGATGCTGTGAATTGCTCTGACAAGCAGTACGAGCACAAGGGCAAATGCTGCAACCGATGCCAGCCAGGTACAGAAATACCTTCTCCTCCCTGGGCCTTATAGCCATAGCTGCTGGAGCTGCGTTTGGCAATTGAGCAGCATGCCACAGTGGCCCCAGCAACTACAGTCCTCAGTGCTCCCACGTCCTGCTGGCAGATCGTAGAAGAGATCTGCTGCCTGTGGGGGAAAGCTCCCTTATCCCTCCTCACCAGCCATTCTTGCAGGGAAGAAGTTGGCCTCTGAATGCAACGACACGGAAAGCTCTGTCTGCACACCCTGTGAGAACGGTCACTACCAGCAGAGCTGGACTAAAGAGAAGCACTGCATGCCCCATGACATCTGTGAGGAGAGTAAGTGCTCAATGTCCCCAACATGTGGGGCTGCAGGGGCTGCACTCCACCCGGGCTCACCCTCACTGTGTCCCCACTCCCTCTGACAGATGCTGGCCTCATCGTGAAGAGACATGGAAATGCAACTCACAACACTGAGTGCCAGTGCCGGGCTGGCATGCACTGCTCTGATACCAGCTGCCAGACCTGCGTGGAGAATGAGCCCTGCAAGCAGGGCTTTGGCTTTGTGGCAGGTGAGACCCAGCCGCTCCTATCCCTGCAATGGGCCCCATGTGCTGGTAGCATCGACCTCAGGTGCTCTCAGGAATGGAGGCTTCCTCTGCATGGAGCTCTACCAGAGCTTTGTGAGGGCTGCACTGCTGCTGACCTTCCTGCAACCTCCACTCCCTTCCAGCCATGGCTGAAGCCCAGATGACTTCACCGTGTGAGCCCTGTAAAAACGGCACCTTCTCCAATGTATCTTCCAAAACCGAGCCATGCCACCTCTGGACAAAGTTAGTATCAGCTGCACCCTGTGCTCCATCCTTGTTCCTCCTTGTTCCTCTCTGCACATCCCCTGCTGCCACCTCCCCTGTGGCACTGGGACGACACACCGGGATGACCCCTGCGGGGCACAGCACCAGACTGTTGCAGGGCAGGAGGGCAGCAAGGTGCAGTGAGACCCAAGTGGCTGAGCTGGAGGCAGGTGTTGTGGCATTCCCTCAGTGTGTGTGGAATGTCAGACCTCGGGGGGTGGTGTCCAGACCCCAGCTTGCTCCTGTCTGTAAAAAGCAGCTGAAGAGTTACTCATGTTCCCTGAAAGAAATGTGAGCATTACCTCTGGACTGCATTAGTCTCGCCTCAGCTGCCAGCCATTGGATTTCACTTTGCTCCTATCTATGGCCAGAAATTACCTCCCCACTGAGTCACTTGTGGCATGCCATCGAGCGATCTCTGAGCTGCTCTGCAGCAGCTGAAGTGCCCCAGCCCCACTGTCCTCCTCCTGTGCCTCAACCCAAGGCACATGCCCACCTCTGGCAGTTTCAGCAGCGTCTGACAGGGCCCTGGCATCTCCGTCCCCATCTCATCTCAGGAGCCCCACTGCTGTGCCCCGACCACGCACTCCCAGGGCCCAGGGGATGCTGATTGCTTGTGCTTGGTGCTCCCAGCCCTATGGCTGTAGGGCTCCCACTATGGTGACGCAGTCTCATTCTTTGCCTGCAGCTGTGAGGAAAAGGGGCTCGTGGTGAAGGTGGAAGGGACGAACACTTCAGATGTGATTTGTGGTAAGTGCTCCCTACCCTGTCTGGTGCAGAGTTGATGTGGGCTGGAGCTCTGTGCAGCCCACTGAGTCCCCATCCCCTGGCAGAGTCGAGCCGGCGCTCATCGCTGTCAGTGCTGATCCCCATCACAGCTGTGGTTGTCACCTGCCTGGTGGGCATCTGCATCTACTGCCTGGTGCACACAGGTGAGGAGCCAAGTGGGGAAGGCAGTGGCAGTTCTACCAGCAATGGGGAGGCCTCATTGGCAATGTGGCATCCAGCCTCTCCAGCTCTGAGCTTGTTGGAGGGCTGGGGGCCGGGCAGGGCAGGACCTCCCCCAATGGTGGCCTTCTCTCCTTTTCCTGCAGACCTCAGGCGCCGTGGGCCGAGACAGGTGAGTTGTCTCCAGCCTTGGGTTAGGGTCCCTGCTGGCATGGTAGGGATGTGTGGGCTGCAGAGCAGGGGCTATCTTAGGGCTGCTCAGTGGGGACGGGGCCACCAGGAACCTACGCAGGAAACCTATATGGGGTGAGGCCCCTGTTCTGCAGCAGGAACAAGTACAGGAGTCTCCCATGGAGAGATGTGGCTGTGGGCAGGGGCTGACTGTTGCTCCTGCCCCTTATCCCGCTCCTGGCCCTGACCTCCTGCCCCCACACAGCCTGAGGCCGAGGTGCCCAGAGAGCTGGAGACGCAGCAGCCGGAGGAGGTGGACTTCCCGGTGCAGGAGACCCTGCTGGGAGGGCAGCCCGTGGCGCAGGAGGACGGCAAGGAGAGCCGCATCGCAGAGCAGGAGCAGCTGTGAGAGTTCGGGAGCTGCCCCCGACAGAAGCAGCGGGCAGGGCCAGCACTGACCCCCCTGCAGTCGG